ATTTAAAGCAACCGGGTCAGTTTGCAATAATAAACATAACTTACAGAGACTCATAAATAACAAAGCAATCCAACTAGCCCTTCAAGGGAAGTTAACTGAGGGATCTGAGCAATCACAGTCACTGTCAAGAATAAGCAGAGCAAGAGGTGATTCACCTTCTACAGCCTTCCGAATCCACCATAAATTTAAGTATTATTCATACAAAATTAATAAATTGCTGCAAGAGTTAAATGAAGAAGATTTTGATCGTCGTCTCGAATTTTGCCAATGAATGACATACTGCATCATTAACAATCCATAATTGTTAAGCAATATTTGCTTTTGAGATGAATGCTCATTAGATGGCATGGTGAAGAGACATAATTGTAGATAATGAGCTGAGAGTGATTCACATATTGTGCGTAAATTTAAACATAGCATTCTCAAAACGTATGGTGTGGTATCTAGGTGATCACATGCTCTGACCTTTCTTTATTACTGGAAACTTAAATGGTGCATCGTTAAGTTACTTGGGCAAGTGGTTAACCGTATTAGAACAATAGTAGAAAATGATGATAACCTTGTCGAAGATTTGGTTGTATTTCAACAAGACGGAGCTCCTCCCCACTTTGCTCTACCTGTGCGAACATTTTTAATGGAACTTTTCCCGCTCGTTGGATAGGTAGAAGAGGACGGATAATGCATTGGCCACAAAGGTCACCGGATATAACACCCCTAGACTTCTTCTTATGGAATATTAAAAACTCTACTATTATTGTAGATATGAACATAATAATACCAAGCGAGGGCACTGTTTGTACTGACATTAAACACAAATGATTCAAGAAAATAAACCGTAGTAATTATTCTGAATTTTACTACACCAGTCAAATAAAAAATTATGTATATAAAGTATTGCTCATTTACAAATAAACAGTAGTGTTCTTAAAGTTTTTCTTGTATTTTTTTGTTTCGTTTCTCTCGTTTTGTTATTAATTTTTAGTGTTAACTTATCGTAGAGTTTTTATAACATCTAAAAAACCTACAAATTGTTTTTTTAAGTATGAACCCTGTTGGTTATTCTAAAATCTTTTTTATTTGTTGTGAACTGACAATACTCTTAAAAATAAAAGCGAAACGTATTCGAATAAATCATTAAAGTAGTTGCTGACTTTCATTTGCCAATTATTGACCGATAAAACCTCTTGAATATATCTTAAATTTAATTAACGGTCGTATTTTTGCTTTATATATATATATATATATATATATATATATATATATATATATATATATATATATGCTATATATATATATATATATATATATATATATATATATATATATATATATATAGAGTGTGTATAACGACGCTAAGAATACAATTTATTGGAGGATAACTTTCGGGAAAGCGTCAAAACAAGGATCAGCTAGAGATGGTATAAGCCAGTTTGGTGTAGAACTTTATTTTAAATGTGAAATTTTCGGTGATATGTTGTCACCTTCATCAGCACCTAAATGGAAAACCTATTTTAGTACAAGTGGTGGAAATCAACATTTAAAACCTACATTGAAAATGTTCAGTTGGTCCTAGTGGTGAAGAAACTGTCACAAACATGTTAAAAATATTAAAAAATACATTTTAAACTTTGAATAAAAACATTACAACACAAGAGGGTATTTTTTTCAAATACAAACACAACAAAAAATTTAAAATTTAAAACCTACAAAAACTGCAACTTCATGTTAAAGGTAGAAAAGAAGAATTATTCTTCTTTTTTGATGACATATTTCTGATTTCTGTCAATATCCGGGTGTCATATGTAACGAGGTTATAATTTTCACGTTTGCACCTCGTGGATATGGAAAGAAAGAACCCAATGAAGCATAATCAGCAGGGAAATGAAGTCTTTTCTCAAGTACAGGTAGGTAATCTATGCATGTTATAATAAGTTCCCTACATTCTCCAGTTTGTTACATCTTGTCCTGTTGAAGTAGAAAGGAATAAATATAACTTACAAATACAAAGAAGGGTGCCCTCTACGTCCTATAATTGCTTGTAAGAATGCCCCCACTTAATCCTTGGCTAAATATCTGGCAGGTATTATTGACACTTCTTTTTCTTCTCATAATACCTACAAAATTAAAGATTCTTTTGAATTTGTAAATAAGATCAATGGGTTTTTACTACATTCAGGATATGTCTTGGTGAGTTTTGATGTTACTTCCTTGTTTACCAACATCCCTCTTGAACTGGTAGTTTCTATTCTGACAACTAATTACCATCTTATTGAACAGAACTGTACAATTCCCAAAGTTTTGTTCCTGAAACTGATTACCTTTTTATACAACAATACATATTTCACTTTTCAAAATGTTCTATGTAAAAATAAAAGGAGCACCCATGGGTGGAGTTATATCCCCAACTTTGGCAGAAATTGTAATGAACTCCCTACTTCACTACTGTACTCAAGAAGTTAATTTTCAGTTCCCCTTCATTTACCAATATGTAGACGACCTCATACGTGCAGTCACTGCAGACAAAATCAACTACACTCTTAACACTTTCAACTCATATAACACTCACCTACAATTCACTGTTGAAACAGAAGAAAATAATAGTGTTCCATTCCTCGACACCTATGTAACCAGACATGAGGACAACACAGTAAGGTTGGATTGGTACAGAAAGAAAACATTCTCAGGTAGATATGCCTTTTCACTCGTATCATCCAGACGAGCAGAAGATTAACATCATCAAAGGTCTGAAAAAAAGAATAAAAAGAATTTGTCACCCTTCTAACTACAATAAGAACATCAAATTATTGTATGAGATTCTTAGAAAAAATCACTACCCTAAGATGCTTCTTAATAAACTGCTTTTCCAAGATATGCCAACAGTTAGAACACACCAAAGACAAACATTAGAAGGAGAAACAGTAGAAGTTTTCTATGGGAGATTGCCTTACATCAGAGGTTTATCACTACAGATCACAAACCTTTTCAGACAGTTCAACATAGTGATAGCAAATTCAGTGTACAAAAGATTAGGGACATACTTTACTCACCTGACAGAAAGAGTTAAAAAACTGGATAACTTCAATGTAGTGTATTCTATTCCATGTGGTTCTTGTTCAGAAGTATATGTCGGTCAAACCAGCCAGAAACTCTCAAAAAGAATAGCTTTGCACAAGAGTGATGTAGCGAGGAAGCCCACCTGCACAGCCTTTAGCCAACATATTAAGAATACTGGACACATTGCTAACTATGAAAATGTGAAATCAGAAATATGTCATCAAAAAAGAAGAATAATTCTTCTTTTCTACCTTTAACATGAAGTTGCAGTTTTTGTAGGTTTTAAATTTTATTGTTCTGAAGCTATTTTCTTGTGGCATTGTAAATTAATTACTATTAAACTGGGAATAAGCCACAATTAAAGATAAAAATACGTTTAAATAACGTAAACTAAATTCACGAACAAATACTTACAATGTCGGGATAGTATTGTGAGGATTTTTTCCTGGTTTTCCCTCATAATTTACTATGGAATCACTAACAGGAGAATTTTACTGTCATCATGTCATGTGTTTGTCTTTTTAAAGACGAATTACATGCTATGATTTTTTCTGACGGATATTCTCAAGTTAAAGTTGATTTCATGTAATCGAATGAACTATCTTATAAGTAAAGTCGTCCCAGGAGCGCAACTCAACAATATTGGCAATATCATTTTAAAGTCGTCTACTTTAAAATGCATAATGTATGTCTGAATTGTCAATATAAATGAGTAAGATAAAATTAAATTATTAGAAGAATTTTTCACTATGTAACAAAAAACAAAATTTGTTTAATTTACTGTTTGTATTTTGAGAACGATTTCCGAAGTGGAAATTGAAACGTCAATAAACGTATTTTTATCTTTAATTGTGGCTTATTCCCAGTTTAATAGTAATTAATTTTAAATTTTAGATTTTTTGTTGTGTTTGTATTTGAAAAAAATATCCTGTTGTGTTGTAATGTTTTTATTCAAAGTTTTAAATGTATTTTTTAATATTTTTAACATATTTGTGACAGTTTTTTCACCACTAGGACCAACTGAACATTTTCAATGTAGGTTTTTAAATGTTGATTTCCACCACTTGTACTAAAATAGGTTTTCCATTTAGGTGCTGATGAAGGTGACAACATATCACCGAAAATTTCACATTAAGAATAAAGTTCTACACCAAACTGGCTTATACCATCTCTAGCTGATCCTTGTTTTGACGCTTTCCCGAAAGTTACCCTCCAAAGAATTATATATATATATATATATATATATATATATATATATATATACAAAGAATTTTAAACTATTCAAACTTCACCTTGTATTTAGATGAAATAGTATGTTGTGCTAAATGGTAAGAATGTTTGGATAAGTTATATCACCTCATTGTGACGAAAATTTACCACTAAGTGATTATCGGTCTGTCCTATGTAACAAGCGTTACATTCTGCATACGGAATTTCGTTCTTCTTCTTGACTGACTTTACAACTCGCGGTGAGTCTTCGCGCAATCACTATAGCCCTTTATATTTTACCATCTTGCGCTTCTATTTCTTATTATTGTTTCGCAATCCTAGATAACCTAGCTTCAACATGATCTTTTCATCTTTTTTTAAGACGATCTGCTTGACGATCTTCCATCCTCCGGTATCTAAAAAAACACTGATTTTAGAACTCTGTTTTCTTAGATCTTAGCACATGACCTGACCATCTTATCCGGTTAGCTTATTATGTTTGATGATGTTTTCGTTATCTTATTTTTGATATAGTATTAGATCACAAATAAAATCACTAAATAATAAAATTTCGTATAGTATGGTGATTATTATGCAATACTAAAACAAGCAAACAAACAATTTAATGTAGCAAATTGAACATGTATTCGGATTTTTAACCATGCCGACCCTGGTCAAAATAAAAAAAATTAGCATATTCTCCAATACATATAAACTATACTTGCCTTGTTGAACCCAGACTGTAGCTGTTATCCAATAGTCTCACAAAGTACATTAAAAATAAACAAAATGTCTCAATCAGTGGTAAGTAAAAAATTACATTTACTAAGTTGTTTAGCTAAGTCTAAAGAATATTTTGTTTAACTTATCAAATTGCAAATATAAAGAGAAACTCGGAACTAAGGACAGAATAAGTTTTGTTTCGCAAATAAAATTTATTTTTTAAGTTCTGTCAGATTTATATCTTTTACATTTTTTAGCAACAATTCCCTTTATTTTAAGAATTACTCTTGCTGATTTAATTATATTTCTTAATTTTTAAGATTTTAATTCTTTTGCTACCACTTTTTTAAAATAAATATACCATTTCTAAATAAATGTTTTTATTTCATAAAATATTATAAAGATAATAACATCATTTTTTTACATCAGTCTTCTAATAACTAAACTGATTGTGAATAACAATTAATGCAAAATTATATCTCGATACATTATATCTCGGCAACGAGATAATCAGCAGCTCATGATTACTTCTTTTTCTTCTTTTCCTTTATTTAATTTTTATATAAATTAAAAAAAATTTAATCCATATTTTCACTTTTTTTAATTGACTGCAATAATGATGAAGATTATTCTTATTCTTTATATTCCACCTTCCACCGAAAGTTCACTGTTTATGCCGCATATATTATTTTTGCAGCTTCTAGTATTTGGAACCATTCTCCTAAGTTTCTCAGTCTTTGAACAGAAACAACTTTTTCTTTCTTACCTTCAATCTTGCCTTTCACTAAAAGCTGTATCGGACTGTACGTCATTACGAAACACATGGCTCAACTATGATGCTTTCTTCCTTTTAAAGTTGTTCTCTTTACCCATTCGTCTGAATACCTATGGGTTGGTTACTCTGTCTGTCCAATGTATTCTCCATAATATGCGTGGACAGAGCCACATTTCTAAAGCGTCTAACAATTTGATAGTTACTGCTGTTAATGTCTTCGTTCTATTTGATGCTAACGCTTAGGTTGCTGTTGCTTAAGGGCTTTCTCATTTTTATGAATGTTAATTTTGTTGTTTTAATTCGGATCTTAATCTCTCTTCTCGTTTACTATATACTTCCGGTATTTAAATTGGTATAATATTTCAATACATTTGGTTTTAAAATGCATGTCGATATTTTGAATGATTTTTTCACTAATCATCATAAACTTAGTTTCCTTTCTATTAACCTATAGTGCAAATTATTTGCCCGTAGTATTTATTCTATTAAGAATCATCTGTAAATCTTTGATGTTATCGTTCAATAAACAATATAACCTGCTTATGGAAAATTACTTACTGCTACCCCAATATCCTTGATGCCCTCATTACACTCTTCTAGTACATCTAGAAATATTTGATTTCCTGATTATGATTATTAGCGTTTTAAATATGGCCATAAGATCATCATCATCATTCAGCCCATACTCGTCCACTGCTGAACATAGGCCTCCCGTAGTTCACCCCACAAATTTCTGTCCTGAGCCGCCTGCATCCAATTTTGATGTGTCCGTTTCAGGTCAACCGTCCATCTTGTTGGTGGTCGTCCTCTATTCCTAAAGGCATCTTGTCTGGGTCTCCACTCAAGAATGCTTTTTGTCCATCTGCCGTCCTTCGTTCTCGCGACGTGCCCTGCCCAGTTCCATTTTGAGGTTGATATTCTTTTGATTGCGTCGGTTACTCCCGATCTACGGCGCAATTCTGTGTTGGGTATTCGGTCTCTCAGGGTTAATCCCAACATGGACCGTTCCATTGACCTCTGTGTTGTTCGGCCATAAGATATATTAAGTCAAACTATTAAATTTTTTTATTACTCAAAGTAATTTGTGTCAAAGTTGTTCATTCTTTAACTGTGTTGGATCACAAGCGCCTGCTTTCTTTTTTATTCCGAACTCATCAAAGTGCAAAGTTTTAGTTTACTAAAGATATATATTCATTCTAATATTTTGAATAGTTTCATAGTTTTATGCTCGGTGTTTTTGTTATAAGCGCCTGTTTAAATCAAATTATTATGTGTTATTAATTTCTTTGTCCAGTAGTGATATAGTTTTAAAAAAATATATGGCTATTATTATATTTTAAAAATTTAGTGTGATTTCAAAAATGTTTCCAAAACTAAATGACAACCATCGATACTACAATATATATTTGTTTAATACTGTATGGTGTTTTAACTAGATTTAATATATTATTTAACTTTAATATATCGACAATAAATGAAAATTAAAATTTGTGAGAATATATCCAATAGAGAGCAGTGGAAGATTTAATTTGATTTTTTGTCTACATATTTCTTATCAAATAAATATAAAATTGTTTTAATACAGAATAAGAATTTGTTAAGATATGTATTTATGCCTTCCTGGCAGAACTTGGTTAATCTTGGTTAATTTTACTACAGCCAAGAGATAATTCTAGACCATTTCGCTTATTTAGGTACAGTTATCTCACCAAGAGGTACAACTGGTACACACAATCCTTCCAGGTTATTTTCATTTTTTTTAGAAAATAAATTTTATTATTCAGTGTTGCTTTTCAGTTTTTTAGTTCCCATTTTATTTACATTTTTTAATTACAATGTATATGCTTCAATAATCAAAAGATTTTTTTAAATAAAATCAGCGTTATCATCACTGGTGCGAGAGCCAGAAATAGAGCTGCAATCTTCCCAAGTACTTTTTGCCATTCAGCCGTATCCTTTAACGATCTTTGCCCGTGTTTTAAATCGATTTTTTTAAGATTCTCATCTACACTTCTTCTTCTTCAGGTTTCTTCTCCTATCGAAGGATGGAACTCATCATCAATATTTTAATTTTATTGGTCTAGCTTCTGAATAATTCTAATGAGCTGAACCACTTTCTTAAATTTCTTAGCCAGAACATTTTGCGCCGTCATGGGTTTCTCTTTCCTTGTATCTTCCCTTGCATCATTAACCTAAGTAATACATACTTCTCGCTCCTTATTATATGACCCATATATTAAATCATTCTAATTTTAACAGGTTTTATGACTTTTGATGATTTATTATGATTAATTTTTTCTCAATTATTTGTAACACCTCTATATTAGTTACTTTTTTAGTCCACGATATTCTGTGGATTCTCCTGTAGCACCACATCTCAAAGGAGTTAAATTTTTTGATTTCAGACTGTTTTATTGTCCACGCTACCATGCCGTTTAATAAAGTAAAAAAAACGTAACATTGTAGCATTCTTGTGCGGATCTCTAGATTAAGGTTACGGTTGCAAAGTAAGTTCTTCAATTTTATGAACGTGTTTCTTGCCATTTCCATTCTAGATCTCTGATTTCTTTTGCTTGAACTTCATCTTCGGTTAGGCACGTTTCTAACTATTTATATGTTGTTACTATTTCAGTCTTTGTATTATTGATGATCAAGTTATCTACAGTTTGTGGTCTTTTTTTATCTCATCTACACATTTCCTTTTAACTTTTGGTTTACCTCCAAATATACTTCTAGTGGGTGGTGACTGGGTGTGACTAGGCTGTGAAAGGTTTATCTGGTAATATCTAAGTCTCTTTATTTCTACGAAAGATGTTACACGTTTTTCTCATCATATCTATTTATATTGGCTAAATATTTTAAAGTCGTACGTCGTAGTACAGACACCATATTCAAATATGCTACAAAATGATATATTAAGAGCTTTTCTCAAGGATTTGCATTAAATAATTTTACTTTGAAGATGGTTCATATTTAGTATCCAATATCTGCACTGATAAAATAAGAATTTAGTACACTGTAATTTTTATTTTCTTTTATTAATTCTGTATAATTGGATAATGGATTGAATAACATAGTATTTGATATAATACTCTTTGATTTCGTTTTTTAATAAAACATACTGTATTTTCCAGTATAACAAATATTTCACTATTTTCAGGTTCAACCTCTTGAAACTGAGACAACTTCAATTCTAGCTAGTAATATACCATTGATTTTGATTGGAGTTATCACAGTTCTATTAGGATACCAATACTGGTTTAAAAACCAACGATATGTTCAGTTGGGCAATAAATTCCCAGGACCACCCACTTTACCATTAATAGGAAATGCTCACTTAGCCCTTGGAAAATCTGCACATGGTAAGTGTATTTTACAGTATAGTAAACAGCTACAGCAGCTCCTTCGGTATTTGTCATTGTCATCATTCGTAATATAAGAAAACAATTAAAACACGTGAGCCAAACTTCTATTCGTCGGTCACAAGAATTAGAAAATTTCTAATATTACGAAAAGTTTTTACATTTTTTTTATTCCATTTGTTGGATTTAGAAAACGGTATACATTTATGAATGTGTTGTTTCGATTATTGGAAACACAGTTTGTCTAATAATATTAAAGAAAATAAATATGGAAACCATAGTTACCAGAAATAAATATATTTTCATTAAATATAAGCAAATGTGTGGGTTATGATCTATATTGTGATTGAAAAACTGAATAGAAATCTATTTCTGGGCTCCATATTTTGATCATTTTGTTAATTTAATGCTAACTATGGTTTTCAGAATTACTCTTGTTTTTACCACTATTGAAAAGATTAATGAATTTAAAATTGAAGAGCTTTGAGCCTCATAACGGGGATTACTCGTACAAAATGACTTAAACTGTAGTAAACTTGATAATACTAGATAGGTTATACATGTCACCGAACTAAATTAATAAAAAATAACTTACAAAAGGTAACACATTAAAATTCAAATTTAGAACCGACGTAAAATAAATTAAAAAATAGAAAAGGTTTAAGCTGGCTCAAAAAAAATTATTTTAAATATTTATTTAAGCAAAAGTTAAATGTAGCTAGGTTGGAGAAGGCTAGGAGTACATTCAAAAACATGGCAAACTCTTTAAAGTTGTTTGTAAATCAAGTAACTACAATGTTATATTTTCTCGATATTATACTACGGAGTTGAATCCTGGACACTCACTGAAGCAATGGAAACAAATCTTAGGAAGTTGGAAGTCTTCGAGATGTGAATATACTGACGAATCCTAAGGATATCATGGACGCACAAGATAACCAACGAGACTGTACTACGAAGAATTGGGAAAAAACGACAAGTGATGTATACAAGTAAAAAGGGGAAGTTAGAATATCTCATACACATAAGAAAAGGCACTAAATACAGATTAATGAAAATAATCCTTCAAGGCAAAGAATTTATAAAGCGGGGAATTGGAAGAAAACAAATATCATGGTTAAAAAACCTAAGTAAATTGTTCTCCAACAACAACAAATTTATTTAAAGCATCAGTTAATAAATTATAGCCGGAACATCAAGTACTATTTCCAAGTACTGCAGTTATCAAGTACTCTTTCCACATATTTATAACCACACTATCAAAAACAGTATCACTACACCAATTTATTTATTTTAATATGACTTACAGCTTGTCCAAAAATCAATTTAATAGCGTTAAATTTGCAGTGATAAGAAAGTAGTCTCAACAATTCCTAACCGTGTTCTCGTAGTAGCTTATCAACTATATACACATTCTCTTTTTGTTTATTTTTGCTATTTGCGATAATTCAGATTTTGTGAGTTCGAAGATAAACTTGTTTTTTTGTCAACCAGGTAATAATTTCCATTTTAGTTGAAACAGTGGAAGGTTGCTTTTCTAAACAAACATTGTAATATGAAACAATGGACATTATGAGACACAATTATTGACAACTCTTCTAAATTAGGAATAACTTGTTGATCTATCCATTTGTGAATGTTTATTTTCTTATGAAAATTACCTATTTTGTATATTCGGCAGACTAATAAATTTGGTTAAGTAAAAATTATTCTGAAAAATCAGCATAAACCAATATAAAATATTAACACTTATAGCCTCTTGGTTTATGTACAATTTTAACATTGTTGCTTTGCCAGAAAATTGTTTTATTTTTCTTTAAACAAATCCATGATTTGTCTAAAAAAAGGTCTTTGGATTGAACAGTATTAAAATTTTCCGTATACTTACAAAGGAAATTGACTCTTAAAGCAGCAGTACTAGTGCGATCAACTAACACTGTGCATCGAGTCTCGATCAATCTACGTGTGTCCTTTTTCCAAGAAAGTAGGTCTAATGACAATATTAAGCTTTTGTGCCAAGAAAATGTACACAGTAAACAGGAATTTGTTTCTATTTTGGTCAGCGCAATTTATGGTTGATAAAATTAATTAAATAACTACTTATCTCCGAACATCCCTTTTTTCCGATGGACTTATACCACATGTCGCAGTAGCCTTCGCTGTTAGCCATATTAAATACCGTAAAATTATAAGTCGACAATTTCAGTTTGTAGTATGTAAGGCCAATCTGGCATTTTGGTACAGCTGGGATTTGTTCCAGATCAAAAACTGCTGCACTTAATTAAATATTTAGCTTAACTTCTTCTTTATCCGTATTTTTTAATTGACGAGCAACCTCCTTGTTTCTAATATGTGACTGGTATTCTTTTTATATTTCATGTTTTCTTCCATTGTGCTTTCTGTAATTTGTTACATATATCACAAATATCTTTTTTAGGATTGAACAACGATAAATTATATTTAGTGTAAAATATTATTCTGTACATACTTTTAGGCACAAGTGCAATATTCTTTTCTTCACAATATTCAAGATAGAGACCGTACATCTTGACTATGTTAGGTGTCTAAGGCAAAAAACGGTTAGATGTATTTTTCTGATAGTAGTTGCTTTCAAAAGTTTCAAATAGATTAATGTGGTCTTTTATTGGCTGCTTGACATAATCATTTAGTTTAGAGTTTTTACATACTTTACCCCGACGATCTTCTGAAACTGTAGCCATACTTCCCATTTTCTTATAACTGTTTTACCAACTTGGGCACTAATTCCTAATGTCTTTCTTTCTAATGTTTTTCCTTATGTCTAAAAAAAATGTTTTACATACAATCGTTTTTTGTCCACGATTATAAATCATGTATTTCTAAGAAGATACCCGTTTTCTTTCTTAAATTTTTTCTGTATTGCCTTCATTATTCATGTTATTCTCGTCATCGCTCTCCTTCTTTTCACCAATTTCTCTCAAGCGTGTTCTGACGTTTTTTGTCTCCTAGTTGCTTATAACTTTGAAAAATCTACCTTCTTTCTTCGTTTAAAACCTTTCATTGACTTGGGTTTCTTTGTTATTTGAGTGTGTTTAACTGCCTAGATGTCACCGATTGGCCTTGTATATCACAATCTAATAAACTTCCTTTATCCACTAGATCTTGATATTGTAATGAGTAGTTTATTTTTATTGCCCTATAATCAGGATCATTCCTATCATTATCAGAACCAAATGGATCTTCTTCAGATTCAGAGAGGAGTAAATCTTCCTTTAAAATATTGAGTTCATTTAGGGGTTATCGTTACTGCGAATTGATTGGAAATTGGGGTTGTCTTTTATGTTGAAATTAAGAATTTTGTCTAGTATATTACCTGACTGATGTATTGGCGTGACAGGATTACTATGAAAAAAATATGTTGTTTTCCAAAGAACTGAGAAAGAAGGGGGACTTAATACAACACTCTCTTGCATTAGTTGAGCTACATCTTTATCTGAAAACATTTTTTGGTTTTGAAGATTTTGCAAAATATTAGAATATAGTACATAGATTTTATCAAAAATTAAATTTTAGTTTAGCTATGTGAATATGACAAATAAAGATAGAAAAAAAGTAATTTTATAATATCATGTGTTTATTTGCAACTGATCTAAATAATTTTACTAATTTTCTGTTTCAGGAATTTTTAAAGTGGCACTTCAATACTATAACGAAATGAAAATTGATGTTGCAAGGGTCTGGCTTGGACCTAGATTGATTATTGGCATCGCAAATGCCGATGATATAGAAGTAAGTATCATAGATCGAAAAATATACACTATATAAACTATTCTATACATATTATTTTTGGTTTCAGATTATTTTAGGTAATAGTGTTCATTTGGAAAAATCTCCTGACTATGGTTTATTCGAACCCTGGCTTGGTGATGGCCTGCTCATCAGCAAAGGTAAAGATCTTAAAAGCATTTTATAAAATAATATGAAATTTTTTATTGTTAGTACGAAGTTTTGGAAAACTAAAAACTGTTGTTTAATTTGCTTAGCTTACCTTTAGCAATATTTAAAATATATCTGCATATATAATCCATATTAGCGACTACCTTACTCAAAAAATATTATTTTTTTTAACAAAAGTTTCATAAATTTAGTGCTAATTTGTAATGACTCCACATAAATTGTTATTTGTAAGATAAACTAGATAAACTTAGGTGTAGACTTGCCATTTGAACTTTTAGTGATGTATTTAGCTCAAAACTACGCTACCTGACAAGAGATTTCAGAGCCAGAACTTGGGCCATTGAAGATAACACTGGAACCCTAAGAACAAACAGAGAAGACATAGCAGAGACATGGAGATCGTATTGCAGGGACCTATATAAGGATGATCAACGCCAAGAGCTTCTTAGCCAAATCTCTGAAGAGGTGGAAGAACCTGATATACTCGAAAATGAAGTAAGACAGGCTATCAACAAGCTCAAATATAACAAACAACCAGGTCCAGATATGATAACAGCAGAAATGCTTAAAGCCACAGAAGAAACCGTCGTAAAGTTACTTCATCTACTCTGTAACCAAATATGGCATTCCAATCAATGGCCTGAAGACTGGACAAAATCTACAATAATGACCATACATAAAAAAGGCAGCTTCCATAAATGCGACAATTATAGAACTATCTCTCTTATATCCCATGTTAGCAAGATAATGCTACATATAATCAATAAGAGACTGAAAACATTCCTTTAAAGAGAAATTCCACAAGAGCAAACTGGATTTACCAAAGGTAGAGGCAGATAATCGAGAAATCTAGGGAATTTAACATCCCACTATACATGCGTTCGACAGGGTCAAATAGAGACACTTATGGCGAATACTAAAAGAAGTAGGCGTACCACAACATCTAATTACGCTTATAACTGAACTATATGAACACACTACTGGATCAGTTAAAGTACTTGACACACTTTCGAACGAATTTCATCCAGAACGGTGTGTCAGACAAGGATGTATACTATCTCCACAATTATTCAACATATATGGGGAGTATATTATGCGAAGAGCACTTGAAGGATGGGAAAAGGGCATCTCAATAAATGGTCATAAACTAAACAACCTACGTTTCGCAGATGACACAGCTCTTCTTGCAAATAGTCAAGCAGAGCTGATAGAACTTATACGACTGATCGAAAACGAAAGTCAAATATTTGGTCTGCAATTAAACATATCAAAGACAAAGATCATGATAGTGGATAGACTATACAACAATCATCCACACATAACCACAATTGACCGGTTCGAGGTTGTGAGCTCATACTTATATCTGGGATCATTAATCACAAACACAGGGTCATAACAAGAAGAGATTAAACGTAGATCTGATCTAGCAAAAGTTGCCACAGCAAAAATATTCAAAATATGGAAGGACTGTCAAATTTCAAGAGCGATAAAGATGAGGTTGATCAACTGCTTAATATTCCCAATACTGACCTACGGATGTGAATCTTGGACTCTGAGACAATCGGAGAGAAGAAAAATAGACGCCACTGAAATGTTCTGTTGGAGACGAATGTTACGAATTTCTTGGACCGACCGCAGAACAAATAATTCAATTATAAGAGAGCTAAAAGTTAGCCAACGACTCTCTAGTAAAGTCCATCTCCAACAATTAAAATATTTTGGGCATGTTATGAGAGCAAACATAGAAAATATGGAAAGACTCATAATACAAGGAAATGTAGAAGGCCGAAGATCACGAGGAAGATCCCCAACAAGATGGATAGATCAAATTTCAAGAATATGCCAAAGACCTATGCATGAATTAAAAGAAATGACCAGAGACAGAGATCTCTGGAGACGGAAAATACACGACATCACGTCGACCACTACACTCCCCCTGGGGGGTCAGGATTGAAGAGAGAGAGCTCAAAACTTTGTCAATATTACCCATACAGGTAGGTTATCTTGGTAGATAGTAGTGAGCGTCTTTACTGTATAGAAGTGATTATTGGTACCATAATTTGATAGGAATCCTGCCTGCTCTCTCGGTTGGTAGAAATCTAATTTTTTCTCCAATCTTGATGTCACTAGCGAAATGAATAGATTGTATATGTGCTTAAACAAGCTAATAGGTCTAATATAAGGTAACATTTATATGGTTATATGATATAACAAGGCTCTCAGGTAGCTGAGAAGATAGCCGTTACCAACTAGAAAATCCAAGTAACGGACAGAGAAAGCTTGTGATAATATTGATAAGATACATGATAATATTGATGATTAAGAAACGATCCAAGAGGTGTAGAAGAACACAAGAAACATATTATATAAAATGAATTTACCAAATTACAGAAATCTACAAAAATACCTATGCGAGACTTGGTAATAAAAGTAATAAAAGAAATGACCAGAGATAAAGACCTATGAAGATATAAACTAGACAGACACCAGTCAAAACTGAAGAGAGATATATAAAAAGAAATAAACTCAACATACTATACTATTTATAAATCAGTATATTTTTTCCTATTTTCATATAATCGTTTGTATCGAAGACTTTTTCGCCAAGAGAAATTTTTAAAGTTAGGACATTTTACACTGCTAAAATTCTTTAAATACTGTAACTAATATATTTTATTACTTTTTTAGGCGAAAAATGGAGGTCCCACAGGAAAATGATTGCACCAACTTTCCACACCTCAATCTTAAAATCTTTTATGCCGGTATTTAACAGAAACGCTACTGCTTTGGTCGAAACTTTTAGAAAAGAACAGGGAAAAGTATTCGATTGTCATGATTACCTTAGCAGTACAACTGTAGATACTTTGCTAGGTAATATATTTGTTAAAAATATTAAATACTATTGCAAAAAAAAACGTTCTTACCCAATGTTAAATAGCTAACAAGTTAACCTTTAACAATAACCATTAGGATTTTGTTCTTTGTATTAAATTAGTGTTATTTAGTTAAACCTGCTTTGCAACTAACTTTTTGTTCTATTCTGGCCCTGAATAGACGCTTATTCTGATTTCCAAAATGCCACCATTTGCGTCTTTATTTTCCTATATTTTCTGATATTTTCTTTCGTTTTTATTTTAACTTCAACAAATACAATTTTGTTGTTCACTGGCATAGTTACTAACTATAATACTCAGTAATTTTTTTTTCTTTCATAAAATAATCTATTTAAGAATAAATTGTTGGTCAACTTTTGAACGTGGCTTAGTTTGCTTTTGTCCGTTTTGAATAAAATTAATTAACAATCTCCATATATAGTAATATTGATATCCTCTATTTTTATCTTCTTCATATCACTTCCTAGCTTCAAAACCTAGTCCTTCATCTACCGTTTTTCATCCTCTTTTGGAAGGAGAAATACATTCAATAAAATGTTTTTTTTTTAACTTATTACTTGTATAATATTTTCCTCTATGTTCTGTAAGTACTTAGTTTTTCAGAAATATCAGCGATCAGTCGCAAGATCTTGCTTTGTATAAAGTGGATTTAATTAATGTCTCGGTGATCCCATATAATTGACGAAAGTTCTTCAGCCAGGATTTTCCTTGTCAACCAGAATCATGTTGTCCTTATCTTCGCTCTGAATAGTCACATGTGCATATCTCAGTTTTATTTTCACATGGACAAAATACTCCAATTTTCGACTTTGAATGATATTTCGCACATCCCCTTCATATTTTGGATGTTATAAACTGTTTGATTCCTCACTCTATCAATCCACATTATCCTTAGCAATTTACGCAAAGACAACATTTCTAAAGCCTCTATTATTTTAAATATGGTTTCAGTGAGAGTCCATGCTTCCATTCAATGGAATATAATCTCGTTGACAAAATTATTAAGTGAATATTTAATTTTTGTGTTAATAATTACATTTTTTACCTTCTATGTTGTTCAGCCTTGTTTTGTTCTGCTTTTGATTTTCTTAAATAAGTTCAATTTGTCACTTCCCCAAAAGACCAAATATTTGTCTGATTGTACTCTCTCGACTCTTTTTTTTATCTTTCCTAATGTCAGATAAACTTTCTAACTTAATTTTTGTTTTACTGATGACTATCCAACCACATTTGTATTATTTAAAATAGCAATTAACTTGTCATATTGAACACACTTGTCATATGCTTATATGACAATATATAACGCTTTGCTGAGAATCTGTAGATAGTACTCCAGTCTTGTATAAACGGTAAAGCAAGTTTAATAGGAGTAAGATATGTCTATATTCTTTAAGAGTTTAAAAAACTTCTTTACTCCATATTGTTCCGGTATCTTTTCACCTGTACCAAATAGTTTTTCTGTCGTGTACAAGTTCTTCCATCTAGGCTATGACAGGCAGTAATAGTATATGAGTTACCCCTATTACGTCAAAAACATTTTCAATATATTTTTTCCTTTTTTGAGATTGTTCTTGTATGCTACTAAATATTTATAACCTCTACCACAAAATAGTGCATTTTTCTATTAGCAATTATAGCAATTTTTAACATTTATCTCTTATACCTTCTTTCTTTACTGCTCTTTTAAGAGCATCCATGAATTGCATTCTTTTAGCTGGTAGACTTCCAAGTTTCTTAAACCCACACTAATGGTTTTAACTCTATACTTATAGTATATTATAGTATAATATAGTATATTTTATTAAATAATGTTTCTTCAGGTCGTCTTCGGACATATAATAATATATTTCAAAATTTAAATAAGGATAATTATTATATTTCATCTTTCCTTTAGAAACTGCTATGGGTGTTACGAAAGAACACGACAGCAACACTGGATTTGATTATGCCATGGCTGTTATGCGGTACGTATCTATACTTCACATACTATGCAAACCTTTACAGAAAAATTAACTTAATCTTCTTTACAGCATGTGTAACATCCTCCATCTTAGACATATGAAATTCTGGTTGAGGCCTGATACCATTTTTAACTTCACCAAACTGAGTAACATCCAAGTAAATCTTTTAAAAGTCATTCACGATCTCACTAACGGGGTAAGGTTTTTAAATTGTATTTAAATTTATTAAATAAATATCATCAAATACATAGAACTTAAAATTTAAGTCGTGTTTTACATGATAACTGATATCGCCAGTCTTAAAATACATTTTTACATTCTTTTAGGTTATCAAGCGAAAGAAGGCAAACTATTTTGAAAGAGAAAAGACTGGAGAAAAGAGTTTGTATGAACAAGCCCTAAAGACCTCCAGAATTGACGAAAAACATGGAAATCTAATTGAAACTCGTGATATTATGTCAAACTTATTAAGGGATGATTTGGATGAAAACGAGGAAAATGATGTTGGTTAGTGAAATATGTTTGTTTTATAGAAATAAAATAATTATTTGAAACATATCTATGATCTATGATTTAACTTTGTTATTGATGTTTTGTAGGTGAAAAGAAAAGATTGGCTTTCCTTGATTATCTTATTGAAGCCAGTCAAACCAAAGGAAATGCACTTAGTGATAAAGAGATTAACGAAGAAGTCAATACTATTATGTTTGAGGTAATATTTTGTGATTATATATTTTCGGTTTTCCAGCTTTAGCACCATGATCCAATAGCATCTTCCTGTTCAAGTCACAAATTTTAGTGTTTTTGCTGCTGTGGTATCACATGTAATTTCTCTTATAAGATCAGATTACAAGACTACATTTTCTGGTATTAAGATTGGAAAGACTTAACTAGTTAGCATACATTAAACCTGAAGAGCCAGAGTATAGTGTTATAACGTGGTGTTGTAATGTAATATGTTACTAAACCGTTGATTTCTTAAAATTTAGTCTTATTTTATGCCATTTGTCGCAATTCAAATGCCATTGATTTTTGTTTTACTCAAATTATGTTTCTTCTTTTCATAGCTATATTAATTCCTATCCTAAATTAAGTCATAGCTATATTTTCTCAAGACTTTCTTGAGATTCCTTTTTTTTTATCAGGGTGGGATTTGTTCCCAGACTCTAATAGGTAATCTTTTACTGTTCATTCATCACAGTAATTGTATCAAGAAAGCTGTTTTGTTCGACTTCTTCTTCTTCTTCATGTACCATGTCCTTTCAGAACGTTGGTTACCATCATAGCTATTTTAATTTTATTCACTGCCACCCTAAATAGCATGCTTGTATCTACACCATACCAATCTCGCAAGTTCTTCAACCATGAGGTTCTTCTTCATCCTGGACTGCGTTTGCCTGCTATTTTTCCTTGCATGATATTTTGTAGCAATTTATATTTGGGACCTTTCATTACATGTCCGAAATATTCCAGCTTTCTCTGCTTGATGATTTTTACGATCTCAGTAGTCTTGCTGAGACGTTCTAGTAATGTCGAGTTACGAATCGTCTCCACCCAGGAAACTTTTAAAATTCTTCTATAGCACCACATTTCGAAAGCCACAAGGCGATTTAAATCGATTTTATTCACAGTCCAGGACTCGACAGCATAAAGTAAGACCGAGAACACGTAGCAGCGATGTAGGCGGATCCTTAAAGCCAATTTTAGGTCTCTGTTACATAACACCTTGGACTTCCTTCTAAAAGCAGCTCTAGCCTGCTCTATTCTGGATCTAATTTCGCCGTGATTTTTTGCATTAAAATTTAATTGCTGTCCAAGGTAGACGATTTTATCAACTTGCTCAAGTTTGGTATTATTTACATTTGGTATTATTTACATATATAGACTGTTTTATATTCTGTTGTTTACTTATTACGAGTATTTTGATTTTCCTTATGTTAAGATTCAGACCTGCCTCCCTACAACTTTCAACGACACTATCAAGTAGTGTTTGCAGATCTTCTTGACTAGAAGCTAGGAGTACTGTATCATCCGCATATCGCAAATTATTGATAACTTCGCGGTTCACAAGTTCTTGTTTTTCAGAAAGTGCTTTTCTGAAAATTCTTTCGGAGTAAACGTTAAAAAGCAGGAGTGACCAGAGGCATCCCTGCCGTACTCCTCTTTTAATATTGAGAGCTTGTGATTCCACACCATTTACTAAAACTGATGTTGTCCAATATAAATTTGCAATTATTCGAACATCTCTGCCGTCCAAGTCAATGTCTTTTGTTCGACAGTACCTGTTATTGTTGTTCCTACATTCTTTATTTTTTTAATGCTATTCGTTTTTACAGGATCACGTTCACGTAGTGTAAGTCTAAAGTATCTTTGCCAAAAATTGTGTTCTACTGCAATAATTTGGTTATCATGCTCTTACTTGTTGTCCAGATTTTGATCCATATGTAACCGTACTTTCTACCAGTGTTGTGAACAATTGTTCTTTTTTGTTTTCTGTCGAATATCTTTATTCTACTTCTACTACTCTACTTCTGTCTATTTTTGAAGTGTATACCTCTCGGTACTCCCATTTTCCGTATTTAGAACTCCCAGGTATGTGTATTCATTGGTATATTTTAATCCTCTCTCTTTTAAAATCAATCATTCTCTGGACAGCCTATTGCCATGTATTTCGTTAAGTATGTATTTATTTCTAGAATCCACTACCTAATTCTTCCACAACTTTTTAAATAATATATGTACCGCCTTCAACACCTTCGGCTACCATAATTTGGTCGTAAACAAATGATGTGGTTATATCACTTTCCTCAATTTTTACCCACACTTTTTTACATTTTTTGAACCAATCTTTTAGAACTGACTTTAAATAAATTTTGAAGAGGATATGAGACAGACAACATACTTGTCTCAGAAGCTTGCTAACTTAAAAGTATTCTGAGTATCCATTTTCCGTCTTTACACAACTAATGTTCCCTTTAAAATAGGTTTTTACTGCATTAATTCACTGTAAATGTATTCTGCTCCCTATCAAGGATTTTAACAATTTATTTATTGGAACACTATCATAGACTTTCCTTGAGTCCCTTAAAATTAGGTGCAGTTGGCTTCCACATATAAGTAATGTCTTCATTAATTATTTTATATGAAACCAACTGACTATCTATCCTATTGCATACTACTCTGCCATACAGTCTTCCTGCGGAAGTCCTACAGTAAGACAGTCAAGTTTATTAATTTTCTTGTATATAAAATTCATGTAAGCAGTTTTCGATGCAGATAGAATTTCTTCTCCATTCAAACATTTATTAAAAATCACAGATAAGATTTTCAATACACATCCAGCAAAAATTTAAATGGTTTCACAGGTCTATCTCCTAGGACCAGATGAATGATTATTTTAATTCTTATTAGTCTTTTTTATTCGTTTTGCTGTAATTGGAACACACTTAGTTTGAAACAACTGGAGATCGTAATTAACATTCTAAAGTTACCATTTTCAAACTTTCTACAGTTTTTCAGGCTGCTCTAGATTTGGAACTTCTGAATAAGCCATCGATATCATATCTTTATCCATCTGTTATACAGTTTTTCCTTTGGTTTTTCTAATTCTTTTCTCCATCAAATTGTGATTAATTTTTTCGTTAATATGCCACCCTCAGCGTCCTTTGCCGTCTTGTGTAACTACATTTTAAGGACATTTTACATCTGTTCTAGTGAAACTATGGGTTCATTTTTCATCTTTTTAGTTTAGTCATTATAACAATTACATACCTACATACCTACATACATACATACACACAAAATAATTAAACTTACAGAAATGAGTGATTTTTAGGGTCACGACACGACTGCTGCTGCTTCCAGTTTCGTTATGAGCTTATTGGGTATTCACAAAGATATTCAAGAAAGAGCATTTAGTGAATTAAAAGAAATCTTCGCCGACAATTTGCATAGACCTATTACATTTAATGACACGCTTCAGATGAAGTATCTAGAAAGAGTAATTTTAGAATCTTTAAGAATGTATCCACCAGTACCTCTGATTGCAAGAAAAGTGAACGAAGATGTAAAATTAGGTAAGCTTGCGTTTGATTTTTTTAATTGTTGTATGTATACGCTAGACATTTTCCTACAATTTTTGTCTTATGTTTGGACAGTCAGTATATTAAATTAATATTCTGCAGTTTATGTAACTAAGCTTCTTACAATACAGTTAAAAGTTCTGTAACTATAACATTTATTAAATATTTATTAAAAAATTAATTTGGTGTAGTTTTTGGGTCCAGATTTTTAAGCCTTGGTACAAATACTTTTTTATGTGTCCTTTATGTAAAATTTAAGACTTGTTCTCTAATGTAACTTGTTCTCTAAGTCCTATAAACTTCTCTAGATATGACCTTGACTTTTTTGTTTCTTTTATATTCTTTATTCAACGAATATTAAAGTAACTACGTGATTTTTTTTTCAATACCTTTTAAAAAAATATGCGATTCTTACCTTCCTAATCTTTTATTATTTCATATATTTTTTGGTTTAGTATTCCATTGTTGTATCTCTTTTTGACAATGTTTAGAAACGTTTTATCTCTGGTGTAGTTGGTGTTCTTATTTTTTTTACGAAAGACCTTGTTTTAGTGCTATATGTAAATATAATTATTAACAATATCATAAGATCGAAACCTGTTATTTCCATAAGATATTTGTTTCCATGATTTTAGATTATTACTCTCTAATCTACCTTAAATATGTTTGTCTTTAATTCGTTTAAACATTTTACCATAACCTAAAAAGTTACCTCAATGTAGCACAATTATGTAGCGTCTTTACAAACCGATTTTATTAGATTTGAGAATGGTTATCTGTATTATTCATTATTTTTTTTAGCTTCTGGTGACTACACCATTCCTGCTGGAACCACAGTAATTGTATCTCAATTCATTCTCCACCGTAACGAGAAATACTATAAGAACCCTCTGGTGTTCGATCCTGATAACTTTTTGCCAGAAAAATGCCAAGAGCGACCATACTATGCTTTTATTCCATTTAGTGCTGGCCCCAGAAGTTGCGTAGGAAGGAAATACGCCATGCTCAAGCTCAAGGTACTCCTTGCTGATGTCATCAGGAAATTCGAAATCGAGTCAGTAGATCAAGAAAAGGACTTTAGACTTCAGGCAGATATCATTCTTAAAAGGGAAGAAGGATTTAGGATTAAGATAACTGAAAGGGTTTGAAATATAAATTGTAAAAAATGGGTCGAATTATTTTTATAAATATGTTTATATATTCATATATAGATATTGTTACGAAGAATGTAATTTTATTGTGTTACTAAAATTAGCGATTTTATTGTTACTCTTATGGATCTAATAATAAATTTTATTTATTTTTATGACATTGTTATTATTTACAAACCCAATTCCAAATTTAAGCAGTAGTTTTAAATACCACAAAAATTTAATGTTCGTAGTTTATAGTTTTATAGCTAAACGTTAATTTCAACGTATTAGTTCAATATATTAATCCAAAAATAAACTTAACATAATTTTTAAAAGCATCAAGACAGAAGATATAAAAACATCAAAAACTGTCAAAAATTAAACATGCTTTTCAAAGTTTCTCACCGATTTAAAGAAGTCAACAGTGCTAAGCAGTAAGCAGACAAATTTATTCACGGGTTGGTGTTCAATGAATGTAGATCGTTAAGATAATAGCGGATTGGTATGAGTTTTTATTATCATTGATCTGTGATACACTCCATCCAATGTAACAAAAAATGGGGATCTGGGCTGTAGTGGTAAGCACTAATGTAACAACGATATGGAAAAATATATTACAAGAAGTAGGAGTGTGTACACAAAACAAAATGATGTGTGAGGCTTAATGTGGTTTGGCTAACAGACCATATCGGAAGATGGAAATAGATACTCAAGGAAGGATGCAGCCAATTTGTGCACCCTTCACAGACATTAAAAAGATAATAAGTAACTAAAAGAAATAAAAAACCATTAATTAATAGCAATGAAAGTAATAAAATAAGAAAATAGCTCTAAAGAATGTTTGGGTACCAGGAAAGTATCAAAGTATACTTTTCACAATATTCTGTACTGCTGTAATGTCATGTTATAATTAAATAGTTCCAAATTGCTTAAATCCAGAATTATATGATTTTTTTAAAAGAAGTCGTTTTCACCTCAATAAAAAACTAAAACCAATTAAGAGTACAAGTCTAGTTATAAAATGGAGGGTAAGTATAACCCAAATCCAAATTTTCATGAAAATCAGTGGAAACAAGGTATTTAATGTTATTGAATATGTTTAATTATAACTAACCTCGGGAATAAAAATAGGGGTTTAACTGTGATTACATCTTTGGTAAATGTTCTTAAAACCCTTAGTCATCTTCAATGGGGTGATGATTAAACTACTTTATTAAAAGTCTACAGAGCTCATCCGATCTCAGTTTAAGTTTGATAGCTTCTGATCTATTTTTCTTCCTCTAGGTCTAGCACACGTTTATTAAAGTCTATATACAATACCGCTCTCCGTCTAGGTTAAGATATTTTTTTTAAATTTATTTTGCTTCAACCACTTAGAGTTATTAGCATAAGAAAATACAAAAAGTGAAGGATACACATATAGCATTTTTCATATAAAAAGCTTACACGTCAGTCAAGATTTACGTCGTCAAAACCCCACAGCGTTGTCAAAATATTAGAATAGTTAGTAAGTGAGGAATTTTTAAAATGTCAACTATTTGTCAAACTATTATATTAACAGTATATACACTTAGTTTTAAGACTACTGCAACAGATTAAAATACATAAGAAAACATTTTAAAACAAAATTATATATTCTAAATTTTAAACTTACCTCTTTAGGATTTTAATAGTGAAAACGTCCCGCCATTATTTCTTGTTCAAAATAATATATCTTTACACGAAAGCTTATCAGCTTCCTACAGACTATTTATTTGTTTTGGCATAGCACAATCACAACACACAACAATAATAAGTTTTTAAAGATATTAATCTAAATTTTATATATATTTATAAATACAATTTATTAATATATATTATATTATGATTAAATTGTGTAAGAAATCAAAACATAAACCAAATTGCTACTCTCAAAAAGCGGCAACACTTTATACACTTTTGCCACACGTTGAACTCTCAATAAAATTTAAAGTATTTCCGTATCAATTGCGTACAATTGTTTACTACATTTAATTAAAATTATTATTTTTTGGAATATTATACTTAAGGAGTTATTTCATAAAATTTATATTATTAAAAATAACAAATGTTTTTGGTTATTTAATCAACTAGCTGACCCGGCGAGTTTTGTTTTGCCTTAATGGCAATAAATAAGCAGATTGTGTTTTTTTTTGGAAAAAATACAAAAAAAATTTAAATAACTACATTAATCATTCATTATTATTTCTGTATTTTAGTATATAGGTTGCTCTTCACTTAAGTACCTTGTGATACACGACATTTTTTGTTTTATTATCAGGCGCAAAAACAAACAACGCAGATGGTCTTCCGACCTGTGAACATGCCACGTATAATTGACCATGGGAAAAACATGAATGTTCTAGATTTAAACCACAAACTTTTAAGGATTGGCCATGTGATTTGTTGATGGTCATGGCAAATGCAAGACGTATCGGAAATTGAAGTCTTTTAAATTCAAACGGCATATCGGTTGGGATCATCGAGTTCCTCGGAATGAGAACTTCCTCACCATTGAATTTTCCTATCATTATCGTAGCGTAAATTACATTGTTCATCAATTTACTAACCACCAAACGCGTACCGTTACACAGTTTTGGTTGTTTTATGTTTCGAAGCATGATTACTACGGAGCCAACTTTTAGGCGTAAATTGTGCGGTGGTAAGCCAGGCACGTACAAAGAGTTTAAAAATTCAATTGGATAGTTGGTGGCTTCATCTTCATTTGTGACGCAGTCAATAGATTTGAATGAATGCATTGTTCCAATGATCTTATTTTGAATTATGTAGGTCAGGTCATCTACATCTTTATTCTTAGCCGCTAAAATTGCTCGCTCTCAACCATTCATTATTTTTGTAGTTAAAAATAATATTTGGAAATACATTGTTGATAAGTTCGTCTTTTGATGAGACAAAATTACAGAAATTATTTGGAAATGATATTAATTCGCTCGATTCATCAACAGGTACTTGACCATTACCGATAGTCAGCAATTGTTCCAAGAAATCTTCAGCAGATGTATCATTAAGCAATGTAACTCTCATGTTTGTTGTCAGCTGCAGTTTCTTCACATAGCGCCATAGATTTGACGATTTGAGGCAAGCGTTTATTTCATCGGCAGCCGTAGATCTTGGAATTACTGGCAGTATTTGGCGGAAATCGCCAGACAGTAAAATCATTGCTCCTCCAAAACATCTCAAGTCATTGCGTAAATGTTTTAATGTTCGGTAAAGTGCTTCTAATGCACGTTTATGCGCCATTGTGCATTCGTCCCAGATGATGATTTTCGATGCCGCTAAAACTTTGGCCATTGCTGAGTGTTTTGCAATATTACACGTTGGTTCTTCAATAGTTTGAAGATTTAACGGTAATTTGAATGCTGAATGAGCCGTACGGCATCCTTCTAACAATGTGGCTGCTATTCCAGAAGAAGCAACTGCAACCGCTATATTGGATCTCGCCCGAACAGTTGCTAAAACTAATGACATAAGGAATTTCTTGCCAGTTCCACCAGGGGATCTAGAAAATATAAATCACCATTTTCATCAGCGATTGCCTTCATTAAAGTATCATAAACTTCCTTTTGGTGGTAATTCAACAGGGGTACATTCCTTTGAACTACTAAATCTAATTCCTGATGATCATATTCACGTTTATGTTCCAATTCTCGATTAAATGCGTCATTAATTTCACGATTTGGCGCTGGCATTCCTAACCTGTATCAATCAATATCGTGATTTCTGGAACTGACACGACTTTGATGTAAAATATCTTCTGACATACTATCGTTGTATTTGTGCCACAGGTTACATGGGTTTGGTGGAAAACATGTCGAAATTATGATAGCGAATAATGTGCGTATCTGACTTGGAGATGCAGAAATAATGGCTTCAGCGATTGTCGTATCCCAATAGGTATCGTTTTCTAATAAGTTTAGTTGTTCACATGCAGCACGATATGTTGGGAATATTACACCATTAACAGTTCGTAGTGTCTCAAATGAAGTTGGCCCTTGCACATTTACTAGCAACAATCGCAAATAGAAACATTCATCATTCTTTGGATAAGCTGTATACATACGACCAAGAGCATCAGTAGAACGCACATCTGGATACCCAGGAACCGCTTTACCTTGCTTCCGTCTTTGAAAATTTTTGGATGAAGCATTCCAAGTATAATAACGTGGCATCTCCGAGTAAAACAAAGTTCGTGCAAACTGATCGCTTTGGCAGATTGCAAAAAAACTGGTCAATGTAGTTGCTGGAGGTGTTTCAGCACGTTGCGTAGCATTCGAAGCCGTGAAATATACTCGTTGACCATTCTCCAGATGCACCGCCAAATGTATAACAGTAGGATGACGTTCGTGAATTGGAAATGCGAATATACGACAAATCGCTTTATTACAGTTCACATAATGACCAACTTGATAGCGTGAAATTTCATCGTTGGTATTAACGTATGACTGACGTTTCATGTCAAGTCACACGGGAACGCTGTCGAACGGGATAAAAAGTATCCTATGTCCATCTCCTGGCTCTAAGCTACCTCCCTACCAATTTTCAGCCAAATCTGTTCTGCCGTTCTTGAGTTATAAGTGGTGTAACTAACACGACTTTCTTTTATATATATAGATATAATTTCAAAATTTCCAATATAAGTATGATTACATTTTTCTGATTACCATGTTGACGTCTATGAAAGATAGTTCCGCATTTGATTCATACCATTAGCTGTATTAGGAAAATTTGAACTCTAAAGTTGACGTTCTGGAAATTTTAAATACAAGTCACTTTGTATAAATAGTCACGTGCAAGTGTTTAACTTTGAAAAATGGTATAGGCATATACAAAATATCAATTACATATTGTAATAAGGTATACAATACACATTTTAATTATTGATGTATGGTGTTAAATTTTATTTAAAACGTTTATAGATTTTAAGAATTCTATTAACTCAACTACGTATTTAGATTCTCCTAGAAGTTCTTGTAATGTTTTACTAATGTAGTGATATAGTCGTTCAACTGAGTATATTGGACTGTCAATAAAAATGTGCTTCAATGTTACTTTACATTCACAAACAAAACACATTGGTTCCTTTTCTCTAGAACAAGTATTTATGTGTTTTAAAGGTGTGTCCTAATCTGAAAC